AAGAATGGAGTCTTAAAGGATTATTGGGAAATAAAGGAAATATAAAAGATATTTATAGATTAAGGAAAGCATTATTTATTTATCTTCAGAATACAAAATAAAAAAAATAGAATTTAATAGATGTAAAACAATGTTGCTACACACTCATGAACAGTAGGTGGCGGTATGCCCGCCCCTTCCCTAGAGCACGGTGGGATCGAAAACATTTTGAATGGAAATCAGTGGGGAGAAATTAATAAACTTCTGGTCCCAGTCGCTCTCTGTCACTGATTCCAGATATGCTGGTTGTGTATTCAAATTGTTTTTTGTTTTTTTTAGTTCCTCTTTGGTCAAAATCTGGTCAAAACCCATCAATGAGATCGCACCAAACAGGAAGTTAATTGCACAAAGGATCCGGTAGATTTCCAAATAAAACACATCCGATCTTAACCCATGATCCTTTTTTTAACTAGTTTAATTAGTTTCTCCCGTATGCCACGACGTAATGCATTGATCTGAAAATCAACCTCAGACGCAACGCACGCAGTGGCGAGGGTTTGATCCGTCAGATGGAGTTAAATCACAAAGAATTCAATGTTGAATCGGGGCGGCAGCTAAATGCTAGGCGATGGGTAGCAGCCAAAACGTTGCAATTTCACATAATCCTGACGAGATCCGAAAAACGTAGCAAAAACTAGCAAGCGGGTGATTATGTATGTTCACGAAGTAAATATTATGTAAATAAACCCTACACTTCTCGCTATAAATGTAATCAAAACCCATTTAAATGCAGAAACTGATTGAAATTATTGATTTTCCCACTAAAAGTTAGAGAAATCTCAGCCATGTTTATACCAAAACGTTTCAGTTTCACATTATCTTGAAAAATCTTTGCAAGAAACGAACAAGCAAGTGAATATGTACATTCCCTGAGTAAATATTCTGCCAACAAACTATACATTTCTCACTAGAAATGTAATCAAAACTCATTTTAATGCAAAAACAAACTCAAGTTATTAATCTTTCCACAAAAAATGAGCGAATGTTGGCCATCTATATATATATATTTTTTTTCTTCTCCCAGCTGGAATCTTGAAAGTCACGTGACTAGGACGTAAAACAATAGAAAACGTATAGGCAGAAGAAACGTAACAGTACCACAAAAAAATGGCCATTAATGTACCTCCACTACGTTTTGCAGTGTGGACCAACGTAGTGGGGGTACATTTTCCCATGAGACTGGGTTGACTTTCTCAGTCTTTCCCTCATAGATGGAAAAAGTTCCAAGTGTACCTACAACTGGAATAAGCCAAGACAAACAACTTGTGTCAGAACTTGGAGGGATATTCCTTAATGTACAGTACTGCTGGAATTTTATCCTGGCCTTGCTCACCACCATACTCATCCACACATTACAGAGCAACATGCAATCCGCATTTCATCGTAGAGGGGTCTAATCTGGAGAAGTCGCTCATACTGGGGCGTTCCCTTCTTCTGTTGGTTTTCTTTATCAATGTTGGACAGATTAACACAGTAGAAGATAACGTCAGAGCTTTTTGGGCCATGTATTCTCTTGGAAGCTGAAAGTTGAAAGGTGAATTTGTTCTCCACAAGTCAGCTGTTGATAGAACATGCAAAAATATACAAAAAAATATCAGCTGCTAAAAAAATAACAAAGCTCTTTAGCAGTAAGATGAGTCCACTTGAATTTTTTCCTTGCTAAAGTCAATCATTGTGATTGCCATTTTAATTTCAACTCAGTTTATATATAGAGCCAATTCACAACATCTCTTGTCAAATCACTTTACAGAGATAATTCAATCAGATCACACAGTCAGAATGGTTTAAAGTTTTCTATCTATGGAAATGCTGAACCAATATTACGGTATTATCCGATTTAATACAATTATACAGTGATATTGGCTCAAAGTTTTCTTTCTAAGGAAAACCAGCGGATTGCATAAACTCTTGAGCAATTCCTCACACCAAGCGTGCATGTTGCGACAGTAGAGAGGAAAACTCCCTTTTAACAGGTAGAAATCTCCAGCAGAACCAGGCTCACTGTGAGCGGCCATATGCCAAGGCCAACTGCATTCAAAGGGATAGAAGCAGATATACAGAAAGAAGCAGTATCCTAAAGATAACCTTTTACTAGCTCCACAGGTGGCCCCATCCAGGAAACATAGCCAAGCAAACGAGCTCTGAGCCGGTTCCGATGTCAGAGGATGGAAGAGAGCACATACAGTTAGTCATAGTAAGAGAAATAGGACTACTCTAAAAGAACAGGGCAAGCTACAACATCTGTAAACAAAGGTGTTGATTGCAGCAGCGCAGCTGATATTTTTCTGCGGGATGGTGTCACAGTCAAACAGTTACAGACCAGATGAAGCTACTATGATGAAAAAAGGCAGAGAGAGCATAAACTTAGAGGTTGAACGAAAAATATTGCAGAATGGGAGAAGAGAGAAAGAATGAAGCAGAATAATAAAAATGGCTCCATATGTCCTCCAGCACTCTAAGCCTATAGCAGCATAACTATAGAGATAGCTGAAGATAGCCTGAGCCACTCTAAATATACATTTTATCAAAAAGGCCATGCCTTAAAAGTAGACAAAAACAACCAAAACTGGTAGTTGGTTCCACAGGAGAGGAGCCTGATAACTAAAAGACCTGCCTCTCTTTCTACTTTTAGAAATTCTAGGAACCACAAATAAACTTGCAGACTGAGAGCAAATTGCTCTGTTAGGGAATAATTTTGCACAGATAATTTTCTAGTTTTTTATTTGTTAAATAATTTTTCTTAATATCCAATTAATTTCTTTCCACTTCATTATTGTGTCCCACTTGTTGATTCTTCACAAATACCGTAATAGTTTTATATGTTGTCTTTGAATCCTGAAGTGTGGCAACAGAGTAGTAATAATAGTAGTCTACAAACACCCTCAAGCAGGAGAATTGAGCAGGTGAAAGAGACCGTGTAAAAACTTTTATAGTTGGTAAATAGAATAAATTAATATATGAAATAAGAGAAATCCAAATTTTCTGACCAAATTGACTTACTATAAATAGTTTTTTTCTTAATTAGATATTAAAATTTGTTGAAAATGTTTTTTAATGTTGTAATATCACCACTCTCCACCAGAGGAAGTTGTGGGTCATGCTTAAGTAAAGCCTTACTGGTATTTACAAGAGAAGTACAGTAATACCAGAGAGGATGCTATGGAATGTATGCTAGAGCTTGACATGAATCGATTCAGAGGCCAGTCTGTAATATTTACTTTGTTCAATGGCAACAAGATTCAGAATGTTCTTTATGCTGATCTGTTTGTAAATGCAAACACTCAATATCCTCAACTTTTTTCATAAATAGCCATGCTGTACCATTGACAACTATAAAGCACAAGAGCACAGACCTCTGCCATTCCACTCAGTTCCCTACTGTATATGAGTTTTAAAGAACCGCTTTAAATATTTCTATTCATTATCAAAATAAAATGATCTCCGAGTTGTGCTAAGACACACCTGGAGTAAAAATTTCAGAGGGGTCCATCTATAATTAATTTTTTCATAATCTTGTAAACCAATCAACACACAAACCACTGTTACAAAAAGCATTAGCTCCTTGGTGGAGGTAATAATGGAAAGATACATGACCTGTTACAACATTCAGTCAGATATCTACATGCTATTCGGCTGAGTACATGTAGGTGTAGATACCCCACTACACGTGTATCCACCTCCTGAAATCAACATGGCCATTTGGTAGGGTAATAAGATAGAGCTGTGACCAAATAAGGTATTATTTGGCAAAACTGACTTTTCTTTATCTCCCCTCTTACCCTTAGGCATATTAAGCATACCCTATTAAGCAATAGGGCTGGGTATTTTTGCTAAAGTCCTGAATCGATTCGATTTTGATTCATGCAGTTATAAATCGATTAATTTCGATTCAATCTGTTTTAACAATAATGACAATGGTTCAACTGTGTTTCAAAAATACTCATGTATTTTGTCTGTCTAATAAGTGCAAACTTGTTTGTGAAAAGTGACAAAGTGAAGCCTCACTCGAGCAAGCAGACTTGACACAGCAGACATTCATGAGCTGCATTATCTTCAATGCACAAACCATTTTTGCAGCGTTGTCTGTAACAACTACAGGGTGTTTGCTGGTCAGGCCCCATTTGTTAATGTCGTCATTCAGGCTATTGGTATATTTGCAGCTGTCTGGCTTGAAGTAATTTTGAGTGCATCTTTCCTGCTTATTTGAATGTGAACGTCAAGCGGGTCACCATAAAATTAATCGATTTCATTCCCTAGACATCGATTTTGCAAAAATGTAAAGGAATCTATTCAAAATCGATTAAATAGATTTTTTTTACCCAGCCCTATTAAGCACAACAGGGAGGAGAAATACGTCCTCATCACATTTGCTCTGAGAGATGAGTTCTCTAAACACATGCATTTATCATGCAATATATAATTCACAACACAAAACGTATTAAAGACAGGAAACAGTAGTGTGTTTAGACACTGCATAGTCAGATAAAAGTTTATTCACACAATTCTCTCATATAAAAACAAAGCAAGTTCACATCAAAGCATTTAGTTTGGATTTATGATATACAACCACATCTCACACAAGGCATTACCCATAAAGCATATCTATGAAATAAAAAAAAAAAAGGAAGAAAAAAACTCTAAAATGTCAAGTTACCCCATTTCTTTGGCACATATCTTTCAATGTCAAAGTTGGCTTGCCTTAATCAAATGAAGGGCCATTGCATATGATGCAAATCACAATAGAAGCTCACAAATCATTGTTATAACAGTTACTGTCAGGAAGGTACACCATGCGCGGCTGTTGGAAAAGCAACTGCAGAATGGCAGTCCTGGCAACTAAAGCTAAATTTAGCAGATCTGTAGTCTATATTTTATTAATCTATGTGAAAGGGATTGATGAAATGATACACAAAACATTACGCTTCAGGTTTGAATGGTATCGATAAACATGATGCACTAGATTTTTTTGTCCTTTTGAAAGATAACACTGACCCCCATCTTAAGCCTTTTTTTAGCCTCTCTTACTGTCCTTCACAGAGCAATTGTGCTTCTGCTGCCATGGTGAACTGTATAAAGTTCCTGCTGGGGACTTTTTGGATGCCAGTTTTACCTTACTCAGGTCTGAGTAGTAATCAGCAGATTATATAATAAAAATGTATCTTTCCCTTTTCAATTAAATCCCTAGAAATGAAGACCTCCCATCATTTTTGGTCTTTAAAGCCTTTTACCAATAGCACTTAGTTTCATGCACTTTTGGGATGGTTAAATAAAACTTCTAAATCAACAAGACAAAAACAGGGATATTTACAGTAATACACTGTCAACTTCTGATGCATTCATTTTCAGTTAAACTCAAAAATAACACCTCAACCAAAAGAATCACAACAGTATTTTCTCCTATTCGTTATTGACCTAAAGGGGGGAAAAAATATTTGTCAAATCAGAATTATATATTACCCATAAAGCTGTTTACTTAAGTATAATCAATAGTATGTTTTAGCAACATTAGGAATAAATGCTGCTTTACTCCTTGAAAAAAAAGGTAAAATATTTATTTTTCCCTAATCAAACTTATTGTACAAAGATTTACATACCAACTCAAGGCTGGTCCTCCTTAATACTTTAAAAGAAACATTTATAATATTATTTCTGCCAATTTATCCTTTCAAAAGATATCCGACACAGGATCAATGTAAAAAATCTTCCTTACAGTCCACTCAGCTCCTGGTATTTATGATTCCCGATCGCAACATAAACATAGCTAATTAAAATGGTGTTGGTTCAGTTTTCCTTTCTGGTAATGTCTGTTTGAGTCTTTCCCCTCAGGTCTGTTTCTTAATTTAAAATCTAAATTTTATTTAAAAACTGTGACAAATGTGGCACACAAATTTGCTGCCAGAAAATAAGCTGAATTTAGTTGAATACATAAAACAAAAAATATATTAGATTTTTTTTTTTTTTTTTTTTTATACCATACATAATTTAAAAAAAAAAGTGTTTAAAAGGCCAAGGAAAACGTTAAAAAAGTTAAACTAAACAACCAGTGACTGGTAAAGTCTTCCCAAATTGAACAAGTTACATTCTTTCTGTAGTGTATTCACCAGTGCCATATTGCTTGAATACATGGGAGAACAACAGGCAGGAAAGAGAAACTTTTAGAAAAGGTTAAAATCTTGAGTCTGTGGAGTTCCTGTGGGACGTTGGCAACCAAATAAAGTGCTTAGAGTCATTGTTTCAAAAGCTGGGCTCCACAAAACAGTATGCTACTCTGACTAATGAAGACATTACACTCAAAGAGACTTGGCTGGAATTAAAATGTTACATCTTCACCATTTTTAGCCCTCTGCTGTTCCCTGCTGCTGCTCCTCACATCATCCTGGTCTTTAAATGTTTGTTTCCCTTTTGATCCAATCTCTGAGCTTGGTGACGCGGGAGTAGACTCCAGGCTTATCCCGACGTGCACAGCCCACACCCCAGCTCACAATGCCAGCTTGAAACCACTTCCCGCTTTCCTCGAAACAAACCAGGGGCCCTCCAGAGTCTCCCTAGAAAGCATAACATGTATCAGTGTAAAATAATTAGATTGGGTATGGATGTGAGGGCACAGTGATTACAGAGATATGAAAATGGATTTTTCTATTTTTTAAATGTTTTCTATGGAAAATTTTGCTTCATCTCACCTGGCATGCATCAACTCCTCCTGCCAGGAATCCGCTGCAGAACATCCTGGATGTAAGCCGCCCACCCAAGACCTCATTGCATATGTTATCATTGATGATTTTCACAGATGCCTTCTGCAGGACGATCTGCACACCACCTTGGTGAGCAGAAACAGAGAGGTCATCAGATCTTACCATGTTACCCTCTCTTAATTTCCAAAGCTAAGTTAAAAGGCCTTAATGTCCTAGATTAGAGGGAGCTAACAAAGCTTAGGGGACTTTCTAAGAGCGAGAGTCCATGTTGAGTTAAAGATTGGAAAGGAAACTTAAGTGACTCAAGAATCAGGAGGTTTGATTTTGAGACCATTATTAAAGTTTTTTGTTTTTTTCCTTTATCCTTTTGACAAACACATGCAGCTCAAAATGTAATATATATGACACCGACATTAGTTTAAAGAAATTTTCAAAAAGAAGAATGTACATTATTAGTAGACATCCATAAACTATAACCCTCTAAAGAAAAAAAAAAAGAAAACACAAAAACATATTAGATATTAAAAAAACGAGTCTTTCAAACAAAAGAATGCACATGAAAATGTAGCATGTAGTATGTAGAAAAAGTCTAACTTGTGCTAAAAGAGACAATGGTGGCGGGATGTGGTGGCCTAGTGGTTAGGCCGTAGGACTTGGAATCCTGAGTCTGCGACAGTCCCACAGACTGCCACTCTGGGTGTCTGAGCAAAGAGCCTCAACCTCAAACTGCTCCCTGGGCGCCGCAAATGGCAGCCCACTGCCCCGCAAGGGGATGGGTTAAATGCAGAGAGTGAATTTTGTTGCGCTGTACTTGTGACAGTGTATGGACAATAAAAACACAGGAATTATGGGGGACAACTGAGTCACTTGTCCTTACCTCCACCTATGTCCAGAAGCATTTTTTTTTTTTACCTTTTAATGTTTGCAAATAAATCCAGTTTTATATGTAAAGGTATAGTGGAGGATGTTCTTTTTCCATCATCAAAATAAGTGGTCCTAATTGTCAATCATTCTGGTAATATGTTTATGTAAGGCCGTCCTACATGCTCATTCTCAGTTAGCTGTCTTTTGCGTATGCGCACTTTTATGTGGTGAGCTATGGTTTCAGCCAGTCACTGAAGCTTGCCTCGCTCACCGCGGTTCTTTGAAAATTGCGTATGAGAAGAAGAGAAAGGCCTCAGAAGAGAGAAACAGGACCACAGTGTTTTAGGAAGATTCTTAATGCGATGGCATACTCTGAAATAACAGGCCGGGCTTTCCACTGATGCCTCGGTTGCCAAATTTTTAATCGACAGGTTAACATTTTCACTGCAGCACACACACACATACAAGAATGTCATGATGTTTTAATTTACCAGTAGTCTTATTTGCGGGGAAACTGTTTATGTATAAATATGGATAAGATGAAATCCATCCAAGCGACCATCTTATTGCATCCCTGCACCTCATGGAGGAGAAATGGGCTCTCACACGGGTTTAATAGGCTTTCACTCTCGGGAGCGGGTACAGTAATGGTCATTTAACTAACGACCATTACTTATTTACACTTGATTTGAATGACATATTAATTAACTACAAGCTCCAGTTCTAATTATTAATAGGTTCATAATCTGCTGGTAAAGTTGCATAACACATCTCGCCAAGATTATAATTAGGACAGATAAGAAAAAATGAGATGTTAGGAGGCAGCAGCAAAGTACAGGTGCTGGTCATAAAATTAGAATATCATGAAAAAGTAGATTGATTTCAGTAATTCCATTTAAAAAGTGAAACTTGTATATTATATTCATACATTACATACAAACTCATATATTTCAGATGTTTATTTTGTTTAATTTTGATGATTACAAATGACAACAAATGAAAATCTCAAATTCATCATATCAGAAAATTAGAATATTACTGAAGACCAATAAAAACAAAGGATTTATAGAAATGTTGGCCAACTGAAAAGTATGAACATGAAAAGTATGAGCATGTACAGCACTCAGTATTTAGTTGGGCCTCCTTTGGCCTGTATTACTGCAGCAATGCGGCGTGGCATGGAGTCGATCAGTCTGTGGCACTGCTCAGGTGTTATGATAGCCCAGGTTGCTCTAATAGTGGCTTTTAGCACTTCTGAATTGTTGGGTCTGGTGTATTGCATCTTCTTCTTCACAATACCCCATAGATTTTCTATGGGGTAAAGGTCAGGAGAGTTTGCTGGCCAATTAAGAACAGGGAAACCATGGTCCTTCAACCAGGTACTGGTAGCTTTGGCACTGTGTGCAGGTGCCAAGTCCTGTTGGAAAATGAAATCTGCATCTCCAAAAAGTTGGTCAGCTGCAGGAAGCATGAAGTGCTCTAAAACTTCCTGGTATGTGGCTGCGTTGACCCTGGACCTCAGAAAACAATATGGACCAACACCAGCAGATGACATGGCACCCCAAACCATCACTGACTGTGGAAACTTTACACTGGATTTCAAGCAACGTGGATGAAGTGCCTCTCTTCTTTTCCTCCAGACTCTGGGACCTTGATTTCCAAAGGAAATGCAAAATTTACTTTCATCAGAGAACATGACTTTGGACCACTCACCAGCAGTCCAGTCCTGTTTCTCTTTAGCCCAGGCAAGAAGCTTCTGACGCTGTCTGTGGTTCAAGAGTGGCTTGACACAAGGAATGCGACAGCAGAAACCCATGTCTTTCATACGTCTGTGTGTGGTGGTTCTTGAAGCACTCACTCCAGCTGCAGTCCACTCTTTGTGAATCTCCCCCACATTTTTGAATGGGTTTTGTTTCACAATCCTCTCCAGGGTGCGGTTATCTCTCTTGCTTGTACACTTTTTTCGACCACATCTTTTCCTTCCCTTCGCCTCTCTATTAATGTGCTTGGACACTGAGCTCTGTGAACAGCCAGCCTCTTTAGCGATGACCTTTTGTGTCTTGCCCTCCTTGTGCAAGGTGTCGATGGTCGTCTTTTGGACAACTGTCAAGTCAGCAGTCTTCCCCATGATTGTGTAGCCTATAGAACTAGACTGAAAGACCATTTAAAGGCTTTTGCAGGTGGTTTGAGTTAATTAGCTGATTAGAGTGTGGCACCAGGGGCCATCAATTTTGAACCTTTTCACAATATTCTAATTTTCTGATATGATGAATTTGAGATTTTCATTTGTTGTCATTTGTAATCATCAAAATTAAACAAAATAAACATCTGAAATATATGAGTTTGTATGTAATGTATGAATATAATATACAAGTTTCACTTTTTAAATGGAATTACTGAAATCAATCTACTTTTTCATGATATTCTAATTTTATGACCAGCACCTGTATTTCATGTTAGAAGGCCGGGAAAAGAAACGGGGGCAAAATAATAGTATGCACAAGTGTATACACAATTTTGTTTACACTTGTGTGTACAAAATGACAATAAAATCTGTCTAAGTCTAAAAAGTCCAGAAAGAAGTGAGATGGAGATGAAAAATATAAACTAGGAAGTGCAACAAAGACAAAGATAATAACTACTTTTTAAAGGTACAATAATAACTAGAACAAGGACTATCACCATAAATCAGATGATTAAAGCCAAATACCTCCTTCCCGTGCTGCGCCCCAGCCTGTGATCCAGCAGGACATTCCCGGGGGAAAGACGTGAGAGGATGAGGGGAGGCAGATTGGTTGGATGGTGTTGCTGAACTCCAGAGGCTCATTGAGCTCTAGCAGAGCAATGTCGTAGTCAAAGGTCATCGAGTTGTAAAATTCATGGATGATTATCCTCTTCAATTTACGCATCTGAGCTTCCTCCGGATTGAACTGAGAATGCAAACCACTGTAAGTAACCCAGTTGTTTGCGAGACCATGCCTGTAGAAACAGAGAAATTAAGATTATTTTATTATAGTGCCTTGTAAAAATATTAATCTTCTTTATAAATTCTAAACATTCTGTCTCAACTCTCTACCCAAGTTTTAAATATTAGGCAGCATAACAAGACAGCAGATTTTTTTTTCTTTCCTTGGATTTGTCCACAACTGACCTGTGTGCTGTGTTACTTGATATTTAAGAAGATATTCTTAAACTTAAAAAACCTCAGATCTTTATAGAAAAACTGGAACAAAGGCCTCATGTATAAAACGTTGCCGAGCAAAAAAAAGAAAAGAAAAAAACATGCAGCCATTGGTAAAAAATGTTAACAATTTGGTCCATTCTAGCTTCCTCAACACCCTTTGTGAGGATGAATCCAGTTTCCTAACAGAAACCATGGAGTAATATGGCTAACAGGAGAAAAACAAAGTCTGCGCCGGCACAGAATCCACCAATATATGACTGTATACTAGGAGCGATCCTTCATCTCCCAACTAACATAGTCACTAATTCAAGGAGGGATCCCCGCTCGTAGCATTAATACTGTCAAGCTCTGTATATTGGCCTGAGGAATCATTTAAAAAAACTCATATGCATCAACTTTTTCAGTCACAAAGTCCACGACTTGTCTGGAATACAGATAAATTAATGTTAAATATAAGGTATATTCTCAAAAGGTTTTGGTGGCTTCAAGAAAGCTGTTTTTATTTAGTCCTGGAAGCACTGCTCGTCCTCACCTCCAGCACAGACCCCAGTCTGTCACTGCCCACTGCCCAGCATTGGTGCTTTCTGCATGGGTAGATTTACAGAAAGTCCCGCCAAGTCTGAAATTCATCCAGACACAACTCTAGATGAACCAAAGTGACTCCTTTTTTCAGAGCTTTTTTTGGCACTATAAATTGATTGTCTCTCCAAGGTGATTCAACAGTTGTTCATAGGGAACAATTTAGCATTAGTGATGTTAAGTTTCACCTGTGCTTTTATTGTGAAATACCAGTAGCAAGACCTTGGCAGGAAATTACATGCGTTTACAGGGAAAATGAAGGGTCTGGGAGGTAAACCTGCCCACTGCTATATTCAATACCAGCACAGGAATGACATGTGATGTGATGCAATGACTTTGAATTAGGAACAAGCACAGCACTACCGTCATTTGAGATGGTGACGACATCAACAAAACCAAATCAGTACAAACAATACTGTAGTTTTACCTGCACAAATGAAGGAGCAGTGAAAAATTAGGCTAATTTAATTTAGAGGCTAGATAATGTCGATTCAATTCGGAGCTTAATGGTGGGATAGTTGATCTCTAGGTGACCTAAAAAATAATCCTTAATATCTTAGAAACAGTTGCAAACACAATCTTTTAAAAAAAAAATTTTTTCATTTTTACAAATTACCATTTAAAATGCACAAACCTGCACTAAAGATCTATACAAACACACCCACTGAGCAGGAGCAGCAGGAGCTGAGACATCAGGACTGTCTCATACTATTTTCCACTTTTTACCAGTCTTGCTTTGTTTTAGTTTGACTTTTTAATTAATCTTTCTCATTAAGCGGGTCATTGATGGATTTTTGAGTTGAATGCTTGCCTGTTAACTTTGTTTGCTGAGGCCAGGCAGCAGCCTCCACCACCAGGCCAGGCAGCAGCCTCCACCATCGGGCCAAGGAGGAGCCTCCACCACCAGGCTAGGCAGAAGCTTCCACCACCAGGCCAGGCAGAAGCCTCCACCACCAGGCTAGGCAGCAGCCTCCACCATCAGGCCAAGGAGGAGCCTCCATCACCAGGCTAGGCAGAAGCCTCCACCACCAGGCCAGGCAGCAGCCTCTACCACCAGGCCAGGCAGCAGCCTCCACCATCAGGCCAAGGAGGAGCCTCCATCACCAGGCCAGGCAGCAGCCTCCACCACCAGGCCAGGCAGCAGCCTCCACCATCGGGCCAAGGAGGAGCCTCCACCACCAGGCTAGGCAGCAGCCTCCACCACCAGGCCAGGCAGCAGCCTCCACCATCGGGCCAAGGAGGAGCCTCCACCACCAGGCTAGGCAGAAGCCTCCACCACCAGGCTAGGCAGCAGCCTCCACCATCAGGCTAGGCAGCAGCCTCCACCATCAGGCCAAGGAGGAGCCTCCATCACCAGGCTAGGCAGAAGCCTCCACCACCAGGCCAGGCAGCAGCCTCTACCACCAGGCTAGGCAGAAGCCTCCACCACCAGGCCAGGCAGAAGCCTCCACCACCAGGCCAGGCAGAAGCCTCCACCACCAGGCTAGGCAGCAGCCTCCACCATCAGGCCAAGGAGGAGCCTCCATCACCAGGCTAGGCAGAAGCCTCCACCATCAGGCCAAGGAGGAGCCTCCATCACCAGGCTAGGCAGAAGCCTCCACCACCAGGCCAGGCAGCAGCCTCTACCACCAGGCCAGGCAGCAGCCTCCACCATCAGGCCAGGCAGCAGCCTCTTCCACCAGGCCAGACAACAGCTTTCAACACCAGGCCAGGCACAGATGTGAGCTGACTACCTCGCCTCTGTGTAATCTGCCCTGGTTGCTGGGACTGCCACCTTGCTCTATCTCCAACCATGGCCACCAAAAGAGACATGGAGGAGCTAAAACGAGCAAATGAGGAGCTGAGGAAATCAGTGGAGTTCATGGCACACCAAATGGAAACTATGGCAAGTAAGCAAGATTCTCTGATGGGCTTGATGAAAGACATTAAGGAACTGAAAAAACAAAATGAGGAGAAAGATGCTAAGATTGTACAACTCGAAGGCAGATTGTCTGAGTTAGAGCAATATACTCGAATGAATTATGTTATTATTACAGGACTTTCAACAAGACCCTCTTCATTTGCTACTGCAGTGAGGTCTGGCATCCAGGGTTCTTTGCCCATGGACCAGGATTTGGACTCTGTGGAGCAACAGGTGGTGAATTTTCTCCACGGAAAAGGCATTAGTATAAGCAAGGAGAACATTGAAGCTTGTCACCCTTTTCCTCAAATAGACAAAAGCAAACCACCTAACATCATCATGAGATTTGCAAACAGAAAATATAAAGTCAGTCTTTTGCGACAAGCCAAGAAGCTAAAAGGTTCAAAAGTTTATATTAATGAACATTTGACGAAGAGCAATGCTGATATTGCAAAGAGAGCTCGTTACCTGCGTAAAGAGGGAAAAATACAGGCAACATGGTCCTCAAATTGTAAGATTTATATAAAACTTAATGGTGCACCTGAGCAGGCACGAGTTTTAGTAGTCAGGAGTCAGAAGGATTTAGAAAAATTTGTATGAGTCTGTGGTTTTTTTGATGTCATGCTGTTTTTAGTTTTATAGTTGGATATATTTAATGTTCTTTTTGATAGCGTATGACTGTGCCCAGTAAGGATATGCTTTACATTAAGTTGAACTTGCATAAGGGACTTGTGTTGGCTCATGTGAATGTATGTAGTTTACGTTACAAGTACCTGGACGTGGAGCAAATTGTCAGAGATAATTGTATCAACATCATTGCTGTTTCTGAGACCCATCTTGATGATTCCTTCTCTGACTCAAGCATAGCCATTGATGGTTTTTCTGTTTTTAGGAAAGACAGAAATAGATTTGGGGGTGGAGTGGCTATTTATGTACAAAATAATTTACCTGCCAAAATACGCTTTGATTTGATGAGGGAGGACATCGAAGCATGCTGTGTACAAATACACGTGCCTTATTTAAAACCACTTTTAGTTTGTTGCTTCTATAGACCCCCTAATGCAGATGCTGTATATATGACTGGGTTGTGTGAAATGTTTGATAAGATATCAGATAAAAATAGAGATTTATCTGCTGGGTGATGCAAATGTTGACTGGTTGGTGCATTCTTGTCCTAACAGGAAAACGTTACTCACTATATTGAGTGCATGTAGTCTGTCTCAAATTGTTAAAGTCCCCACAAGAATAAATATTGGTAGTGATGGAACTATCTCTGGGACATGCATTGACCACATCTACACAAATGCTGCTCTCCAGTGCTCTAAGGCAATCTCTGTGCCTGTAGGTTTTAGTGACCATAATATAATTGCTATTAGTAGAAAAACAAAGATTCCAAAACCTAAAGCTAAAATCATTTTAACACGGTCCTATAAGCAATTTAATGAAGATTTATTTGTAAGTGAAATCGCTAATGCAAACTGGAATATGGTTTGTAGTGAGCATAACCCTGAAGCGGCACTGGATCTATTTATGTCAATGTTTATGGATGCTGTAAACAAATATGCTCCCTTAAAAAAGTTAGTTGTCAAAAATAGGTCTGCCCCTTGGCTTGACCTTAGTCTTAGGTCGCTAATGGCAGAGAGAGATTCAGCTAAAAAACTCTTTGTACTTTCTGGATCTATTGATGACAGGCGGAAATACTGTTCTCTACGTAATCAAGTCACAAAATTGAATAAGGTAAAAAAAACGGATACTTTAAAGAAGGTTATATGAAGGCGAGGCACGATAGTGAGGAATATGGAATGTTTTAAATGAAATCATGGGTCGGAACACAAACTGTGTGCACCACCCTTTGATATGAATCAAATGGGATTAGTTCTCACAAAGCCAGGTGATCTTTCCTAAACAATTTAACTTACAATAATAAACTCTCTCTAACTTAAAACCAAAAATTACTAAAATAACACAACACCACCCCAAACTCACCAATCCAATACAAAACTCCCCCAACAAATCCATTACCCCTAATATCCAATACAAACAACCAATAATCCAACCAATTATTCCCCCAAATACCTAACACACCATCCCTACCCACTCATTCAACTAATCCCCATCTCATATAAACAACTCCATTCTACATTCTATCATTATACCAACTCATCACCCCCACATACCACCAAACCACTAATTCTTTCAATATTTCCTACAAAACCATTCACATTACTTTCTTCAACCTACAAACCAAACCAAATCTTCTCCCCTACAGATCTAGAAACATCTTTTCCCACACTCCCAACTACTAAACCATAAAGAACCTACCCCCCCCACC